TAGCATACGAATGCATCCGTAGGTGTAGAGGTAAGTCAGCCTTCAAATTTTATCATGGTATATAATTTTGATGTAAAATGTTTTTAAGATTATCTTAAAATCTATTTTTATATTTAATTATAAAATTTTAAATTTAAAAAATAGTTAAAATCAAGTACATTTATAAATATATGAAAATCTTGGAAATGAACTGTGTAGATAATATGTTGTAAAATGCACTATTTCAAAGACTTAAAATCTTTTTATTTTTCATGGTCATACATCTCGATGTTGAGATAATCAATCAAAGGGTTTTTCAACATTAAAACTACCTTTTCAATAGATTTTTGAGTTGCAACTTTAGTTCTACCTATCAGGTGGCAACCTTATATAAACTTTTTCCATCACTAAATAGACACTAATCTTAATTTTTCAAAATAATTTAACATTATAAATATATATATCTATTTGATTTCAAAATACCCATCAAAATACACACAAGTTGAGTTGGAACAGTAGAAAAATATAAAATATTAAATAGTTAAAAAATAAGGTGTATTTTGATAAATTTTTCAAATTTTAAAATATCGTCAATATTTCAAATTTCCAACAAATGGTTGTTTTAGTAATTATACCCATGACATAAGTGCGGCTATCCCAATTTGTACTGAATTTTAAACACAAACCAAGACGTTTTGATGTAAATATAAGTTTGGGTTTTAGAATCGAAAAAAGTTTCAAAGGAAGTTTTATCATTTATCTCTGGCTCAAGATAAATGATGAAAATACTCTTGTTTGTTTCACGTTTCAACCCCGGAATAAAAGATATAAATGACAATGGTCTAGAGTTTAAAACCCAACAAGTTACCAAAATGCTTCGAGTTGTTTAGGAAATTATAATCAAAAGCATTATAAGTGTTTTTGGACAAAAAAAAAAAAAAACGGTACTCAAGCAAAATAATCTTTTGATACACCCCATTTTTTTTTTCCAGATAAATTAGGGAAGGTTATTCTTTTTAAAAACCAAAGCAAAATGGTCTTAATAGCCACTTTAAGTATGAAGTGGTTCATTTTTTTAATACCTCCGTATTTTTCAATGATTTGATAATTTAATAATTTTTTCCCAATTTTAATTGACAATAACAGTATAATTAAGTACGATGATGCATACAGTTTTCAGATATGGACAAGTGTTCAAAAATACCATTTAATTTTAATACAAGGAAGTCAAAATCTATCTTATACCTCATATTTCAAATAGGGTGTTTGTGAGCATTGTTGTTGACAGAACTCAAAGTTCCAAAAGAAAATGTTTTTGAACTTCATAACACACCCCCAAACCATCCAATTTGATATGTAATTGTTAGAAGTAGCTGTGACATTCTTTTATAAAAAATAAATAGTCTCGAGTATAGAATCCGACAGATATTTTCAAGGCTACGTTCATAGTGAATACTATTGGGAGTTAGTGTTCGAAAAATCAAACCGGCCTCAAAAACCGCCCATGGGCTAGGTCCGAGTAACTGGTAAATTGGTTGGTTCAATTAGGCAGGTCCTGGCTGATTTAAAAAGTATTAAAAATAAGAAAAATTCAAAAAATTATGAAAAAAATATTTAAAGCATGATTAAACAAAGAACATCCAAATAAAGTTGAAAAAAAGTGGGAAAAGTGGATGTTAAAAAGTTGATTTATGCCTATGGGTATTTTTGAAATTTCTAAAAAAGATGGGAAAATGTAAAAAATAAATTTATGTGGTCAAAACAATTTCCAATCTTTGCCTAAATGATAAAAACATTAAAAAAAAAAAATACAAACAAACCGTAAATTCTTTGGGATTTATATAATTTTTGAATTTTTTTTTAAAATACCTTGCTGGACCACCAAAACGAGCCAAAATTGGATCAACCGGTGCCCAATTGGTTCTGTGTTGGATCTGCCGAGTTTGCGAACACTGCATGGGGTACGTCCGTAATATGAGTTGAACGAGGGCTACTTATTGACGTGTATAGGATGTAATGGACGGGTCAAATTTTCTAAACTTCGAGAAGCAAAAATCGAGGCCGTTAAAACCTAACAAGTCAATGGTCCGGGGTGAGAGGATCTGTCATTCCGAAGGACCACTTTAGGCGGTGATACTTGTTGGAAGACACAAGCCCACTAACAATATACGCCTTGATCACTAGTAAGGAGCATAATACAGTGATGCACCTTTGAAGATCGTCCATTATTATTGGCATTGAGCGGTATGGATTAGACTAGAGGAGACAAATAACATTCACTACGCTCCTAAGTAGCATCATTGATGCTCCCTTTTTAATATGGGAGAAAAGGTTCATCTCACAATATGCAGATATCCTTGAATGCCGAAAAGGAAATGTACAAAATTATTATAAGCTCCTACAACCAAAATTTCCCTTCTTTATTTATTTTAAAAAAAAGTTTATATAGAGCAGAGGCTCTAAACGATCAAATTAGAGCCCACCTTAAAGATTTCACTAGAAGAGGTTGTTTTGATGCCTAAATATCCTTAAATTGACCATCTTGACATCAATATGCATGGACATGAAAAAAACATGGATTTCAAGTATTGAAAATAGTGCATCTTGTAACGCACTTTTGGACTGTCAATTTTCAAGATTTTTATGTTTTCATAGATCTGCTCGATCTACACCGTTTTTAAAGCTTTAAATTTTATAATTAAAAAATATATATTTTTTAAGGCTATCACAAAGATTTTCAGTATTAAAACCGCATTTCTTGACATCATTTGAAGGTGAGCTTTATTTTGATTGTTTAGAGTCTCGGCTCTATACAAACCGCACCTTTTTATTATTGTTCTCCACTACTCTCTCTCTCTAGTCGCCTCATTTAGGTGGGCTTATGATTTACTTACCTAACTTTTGCCGTATAATGAGATGAAATTAAGTTGACATTAATTTTCCATTTAGGAGATAAAGATGCCCCACCTCTCTTCAACATCACATTAAGCAGCTTGCCTAAAATGACCTTTGCCCTTGAAGCTTGTAAAAAGTATCTCAAAATTATAATAATAACAACAACAACAATAATCTTGATGCCAATAATCCCAAAGTTCAACCAAAATTCCTACATAACTTATCTAAGAATTAGGGAGCGAAGAAAGCCGACCACATACTATTTACCATTACGATGAGTATAATCAATATATGGTACATGAATAAGACTTTAGCTCCCTCTATGTAAATCCACACCATCCATTTATGGGTGTTGGAAATAAAGGGGGAAACAAGGTAAAATAAGAAACAAATAATGGTACATTTTCTCTAATCTCAAAGGCCAGTTATGGGTGTTGGAAATAAGAGGGGAAACAAGGCAAAATAAGAAATAAATGATGTTACATTTTCTCTAATCTCAAAGGCCATTTGAGTAACGATCATACGAAAATGGAATACATTCATATCTGGAATACATGGGAGATGGGAATTTTAAAAGCTATCTTGTCAATACAAATGCTCAAGCACATTGCAAAATGCGCTTTTTTTGCGAAAAGGCATGTAGGTTTGCATGTTGTTTGAGCCTTGCATATGCCTTTTCTTTCTTGGTCCTTGGATTCCAAGTGCAAGGGATAAACTCATATTTAAATAATGTTTTGTTTTATCAACATCTTCAATGTGGAATAAATAAACTCATCACTTCTCACTCTACAAATAAGAACAATACACTTCCAAAACACTATAGAATAAAAGAGCTTTTTAGGTATGTTTCAAAGCAAAAACCAATATGAGAAAGGGAATACAAGTGGCATGGATATTTACCCTGATCGAGTGACTTAAGACTTACTCGAGTCTAAGTAGGAGAAAATCAGGCCACAACAACCCGATACCCTTTTTAAACCATTGTCTTTAAGGTTTAAACCATTCTTAAGGCACAAAACCGCAGTTATCAAGACCAGAGGAAATTGGCGGTCCGACCAGTTAGATCTTGATTGATACTTTGGTCAGTTTATCCATAGTGAAAATTAGGTTTGATAAAAAACTGATATTTGATTGGTTTTGGTTAGTTCGACCACCTATTTTGACCTGTTCAACTTGTCAAATAAAGTGGGCAATTTTTCTAATGTATTACATTTTTTAAAATTATTAAAAAAAAACTTTTAAATTTTAATGTTTTTTTTTAGTTTTTCAGAACCATGGCCTAGATTATGAATCACTAAAAAAATTTAGATTTAGAACCAATCTTTAAGATGAGTTATGGAGGGCGAGTTATAGAGGGGGGGGCTGAAACATTAAAAATGTCAATTAAACGCAATAAAATAAAAAAATAAGAGGGATTCGAGAGTTGAGGACCTTGCTTATCTACTCAAATCCAATCTAAGTATGGAATTGTTGATTTGGATCACGGGTTTTAAGATACTACCTACAATATTTATTTTCAAAAGGGGTTATATTCAATTAGATCATTTACCTTAGGTACAAAAAGGTCCCAATTAATTGTAACTATTTGATGTGAAATCTAATAGCTTGTAACTATTTGATTTGAAATCAATTAGTTTGGATATGTCACAAAGTTTAAAAAAAATTATTTTGAATATTGAACTTGGTTAATGGAATAAATACAATTACCCAATTTCACATCTAATGGTCAAGATTAATTATGACCCTCTTATACAAGAAGTAAATAATCTCATTGTTTACTTTTTCTTTTTAAAATAAAGATTAATAGGGGATCGGTCATCTATAAATCTACGTTGGAACGCTGAATCGGCAAATATGAATAAATCAAATTTCGCCTCCGTAAATCATAAGGATTCTATGGTCATTCAAATAAAAAGCCAGTCAAACTAAGCGTCACACGTGCGCACGGCACCTACTGCTGTGACGGGATACCAGTCCTTTTATCCATGTGTATACAAAAAGCCTTTCGCTTCCATGAAAAGCCCCACATCATAAATATCACCCTTATCAATAAAATAATATTCGCATTTACCCCTGCGTTAGGTGAAATGGGAACCGAACAACCTTTCCGCCCCCCTATAAATGGCCTCTATTTGGCTGTTAATTGATTTCCGATCGCCGCCAACCCCAAATTTATAAGAAAATTCCAGAGCGCTCAGACCATTTTTGAGCTTCATTTCTCGTGTTAATGGCGACGATTTCCCTTAAAACCCTCACTTCCTCCAATGTCATATATAGATCCTCTGAAACCAGGCCTTTGGCTCGTGAAAGCGTTAGAATCTGGTGCCCGAGAGGCTCTGGTTCTGTTCGAGCTGTTTTTAAGGGGATTCAAGCCATGAAGAGCTTCTCTATGTAGGTTTTCATAACTGATAGAATTTTTAGGACTTTTTTTTTTTAACTTTAATGTCGAACTTTCTTTTATGGTGATTGTATGTGAAGAACTTTGAGGAAATTTGGTGTGATATTGGTGAATTTATTGTGCATGGTGGATCGGTTAAGGTTTATGCAATATTTTTTTGATCTATTCTATGATGCCTTGGTTTTTGAGAAATATTAATAATTGTTTACTGCTTATTTGATTTCTGAAGATCGGTGCTTTTTCTCTTACTGTATTGGAATCCAGTTTTCTCTCTACGTGTTGGTCGTTTTGATCGATCATTTCTCTGATCGTGTGATTAATTTCCTATTGTTTCTTATAACTAAGTTTTGACCTCATATTTGGATTACCTGAGCTGGTTTTAGCTTTGTACAAGATCTATCATTTTGCGCAGGATATTGATTTTTTTTCTCTACCTCCATGCTATTTTTTTTATGGCCTAATATAATTTAATATAGTCCTCTTCTTTACGGGGGTCACGGTTGTTGATGGTTGAATACATTTAGTAGAGATTATGGGGATGGCTAACCTTTTGGGTTTCCTTTCCAATTTTATTTCGAATGCGAAAAAATAAATTTATGTCTGCCATCACAAATTCATAAATTTATGTTAGCCATCAGAAATTTGGAGATGCTTGTCTGAGTCAGTTTTCGAGAAAATGTAACGTTCATTTGAAATAAAAGTATAGAAGGATTTGATCCATTTAGTGATTTGTTGATAAGATTATTGTTATTATTTTTTAATTTGTAGTAGAAAGCTGACATTTAAAGGTTAGCATTAGATGAGTATATAAAAAGCATTTAACTTAATTGCACTAACAGTATGAAATTGCAGATAAATTTTTTTTCAAGCTTTATTGCTTTGTACAAAATCTTCTGGATTACACTTAATTTTTATGTATAGTTCAGCAGCGGGAATGGAACTTGGGATTCAATGTTGCAACCGTTTACAACTAACTGGTGAAGCCCAAACCAGATTCCTTATTTGTATTACAATTAGTCGTCTACATAAATTTTAAGAAAAGTATTATATATTTAAAAAAACTTCAATTTGTGCATTGTATTGTAAGTTGAAATAAATTAGCAGTAGTATTTAATGGTTCTCCACTTACCAATCACTTAGGACAGGAATGTCTTTTCTATTTGGGACTAAGGGAGAGAATCATGTGTTTTCTATCTGAGTGTTGATGGGGGATAGAGACTGGGTATCGCTTTGTTAGACCAAGACACAGGGAACAAGGCAACACATTCAACTTTAACAATGGGTTACCGGGTTGACATATGAGCGACTTTGTAATCCTGATCAAGAGTGGTAGTGACACAATATACTACAAGAATTTTTTTTTCTTTCGAAATCTGAACTTTTTTTTTTCTCGTGACTTCTTTTGAAATTTGAATCAAACAACTGTTGTATGTCGTTTTGTTTGCTTATAGTGTTAAGTGCTCCAAGATGGATGGGAATGGTGCTCCGACAAAAACAACTCTCCATGACCTCTATGAGAAGCAAGGCCAAAGTCCATGGTACGATAACCTTTGTCGCCCTGTCACGGATTTGAAGCCATTGATTGCAAGTGGAGTTAGAGGAGTCACTAGCAATCCAACGGTATGCACCGACATATCTTTCGATTGCATTAGCCAGTTATATCAAGTTACAATTTTCATATCGTCATCGAAAGGGTTTTATCTTTGTAGTATCTTTAGATGGGAAGACACATTTGCTACTTGCATTAATTTAGCTTTTTCGGAAAGATTGTTGAAAGAATTGCTAGTTATAAATGCAATTCGGGTTGTAGTGACTTAAGTCGAATAAAACTGTAAAAGTGAGGCAGCAAGGGGATAGCATTTTTATATAAAGACAACAAGAAAAACAAGGAAATAATAAAATATGGTAGACTGTATACGAAAAATGAGGAATGATAAATAATAGTAAAAAATAAATGATTTGATATGGGCTTATTTGAAGGTGTGTGTAACATCAATTTAATGTTTGTCTTGGTAATTTGTTTTGCAGATCTTCCAAAATGCCATTTCATCTTCATCTGCATATGATGACCAATTTAGGTATTTTAATATAATTCTTCTTATGATCAGACTCTTGTTCTATATTGTGGTTGCTTTTTTTTTTTTTCTTTTTGTGCATGTTTCTAAAGGTTTGCTGTATAAACATTGATGAGCGAGGTTTCCTGTGAATATCAGTTAAGGTGTTTCATTTTCCTATTGTTAATAGAAAATATTTTAGCATTGACAAGATTGGTGATATACTTGACGTATATTCTCCTCATATATCAGACATTTCAACTCACCTTGCTTGCAGTGAGTTTAAGGGAAATGTGATTAGTTTTTTAAAAAGCTATAAAAAAAGCTGGAAAAAATATCTTATGCTGCATTTGATTGATAATATCTTTTGAATGTGAGCAGAAATAACGACTTATGTTGCATTTGATTGATAATATAATTGTCTTGAAACCATATATTCAACTTCTACTTGAAGCAATAATATTCCTCCCAGGTATGTGCCCCTAACTTATGACTATCCAGGCAATTAAACGAAGCTGGAAAAGACATTGAGAGTGCATACTGGGAGCTTGTGATTAAGGATATTCAGGATGCCTGCAAGCTTTTCGAGCCAATTTATGACGGGACCGATGGGGCCGATGGCTATGTTTCAGTTGAGGTTTCTCCCAAACTTGCACACGAGACTGAAGGAACAATAGAGGCTGCCAAGTGGCTCTACAAAGTGGTTGATCGCCCTAATGTATACATAAAGATTCCAGCAACTGCAGATTGTGTTCCTTCGATAAAGGAAGTGATTTCAAATGGAATAAGTGTCAATGTAACTGTAAGTTCCTGCTACATTATTGTGTGCATGGGATGATCTTCTTTTATGTGTGTATTTTGAACTGTTATGTTTTAGGGAGGGAGGGAGTCTGTATACATAACTGCAGCATTGTGTGCATTTTTCATTTTCATTGAGAATTTTCTCTGAGGGTTGGTTGGGTGGGGTGGTGGGGATATGGGAAAACAAGTTCGACACTTCTGTTTTTTTTTTTTATATATAATTTTAGTTTTATTTTTACAGTGTGTGCATTGCAATATTTTTTGAAACCTTGTGCCATTTTTTATAGGATTTTGAATAAATGGAAACTATTATCTTCTGCTTTCCTCTATTACACTGTCCAAATTATCCCCAATTCCTATTGACTACAAACTTATCAGTGTTTTGTAAATTCAAAGTCCTCTTTTTATTCTTTTTGGTTAAGCTGTACTATGAACTATTGTTTAACCGTATTCTGAAATCAGTTTCTGCTAATTTTGTATTTATACTTTTCTTTGCAGCTTATTTTCTCTCTCCCAAGATACGAAGCTGTCATTGATGCTTATTTAGATGGGCTTGAGTCCTCAGGCCTCAGTGATCTTTCTAGGGTCACAAGTGTGGCCTCATTTTTTGTCAGCCGTGTGGACACACTTATTGACAAGATGCTCGAAAAGATTGGCACACCGGAAGCTCTTGCACTTCGAGGCAAGGTAAACATGTCTTGCAGATTTACTTTTTTCAGTTTTTGCACACACATACGCATACATGGGGATGAGCTTTTGATGAACATCACACTGTTCACATTGAAGAACCAAACACGGTGTTAGGTGGATTTGTTGGACCTTGGATGGGTTGAAAATGAAATTTGATTCACAGTAACAATCCCCAAAACAGTGTTAGGCAGATTTGTTGGAGCTTAAATTTGATGGACCTGAAATTGGCAAATATTTCTTGCCTAGTCATACATTTTGGAAGAAAAATGATTTTGAGCTCATGAAACTCTAGATTTATTGTCCATCAAGTGGATGGTCAAGAGTTGTGGCTATAGCATGTTTTGATGGGTGAGGTTTATATAAGGTGCCGTCCTTACACTGTAAAAGTAATTTGCACCTCTAAAATTTTCTTCGAGATGTAGTCTTGGTAATGAAAACCTTACAATAGCCTGAAATCTGATTTTGAAATTTACAATTTCAAAAGTAGTATAGAGCAGAACTATAAAAACTTGAAAATCTTGAAAATAGATGGTCCAGATAACTAGTTACTAGCTGCATTATTTTTATGACTGGAAGTACTAGATGCATTATTTTTATGACTTGAAGTTCTTGTCTTTCTTCATATGCACACATCTGGAGGTCAAGATGCTCAACTAGAGGTTTTCCAATGTCGGAATACCCACTTCTAGAGGATTTTTGTAGTGCACCTTACGTCAATAGTAATAAGGCTGCAACCTTGTATAAACTAAATTTAATTTTGTTTTACATTGATCTTAGAAATGAAGAAATATGGAGAGAGAGAGAGAGAGAGAGAGAGAGAGAGAGAGAGGAG